AAAATTTTCGATCATTTCAAAAATTTATTTCTCATGAAGTAAAAGTGATTTTTCAAAACGGCTTTTTGCACTAAAAAGAGAATACTTTAATTAATAATCGAAAGTGATAACAGCAACAGTTCTGTTAGTAATGAATGTGATGAAAACTAGACGAAACTACAACAAGAGATTTTATATATCGTATTGGGATTTTTACAATGAGGTTGCTAATGACAATCCTGATATAAATAAAGTTGTATTCAATGAAAAAAATCCCGTTGGGGTTGAACTTGATTATAATCTGCAGTGTCCAAGACCTAAAAGAGATACTAATTCTTGTGAATGGTGGGGTACTAAGTAATTAGTTTTTTAAGTAATAGTTTCCGGATATCCATTCCACCACTAATTTAAACATACCTTTGTGTAGTTTTCATATCGTATTTGAAGAGAAGAACTGTTTTAAAGTATATCACCAAGCTTCAAACTTTAAACATATAAATGTATAGTCCAATTGGATGAAATGCAAACTTCCATTTATGCTTAACTTTTAAAATTGCCTATTATTTCCAATTTGAGATGTTCTCCTTATTTGAAGAATAATAACTCTCTCCTAATATGCTGGAATGGTTTGAGTTTTCCAAAGACCAGAAGGCCAGAATGCAAAATGGCGATCTCATGGTACGGCATAAATTTATTGTAAATTCTCTACATGGTAATACCTTGCCATTACCATCTCTGAGTTATGCGCAATTTTGATTAGATTCACGATATGACCGAAAGATATTGCGATATGTGAGGGATGCGTTTATACTTTCAATGTTTGTCCGCTCTTGTTGTCATATATTTACGTAGTTAAAAAGGAATTTCTGTATTATATCGGAGCATACCTGAATTGATAATATGTATAAACAAATTTTCCATAAACGTAAAATAATAATAAATTAACACAATAAACAATCTTTTTTGATTTATCAACAATGGTTAAATAGGAATCTCCATCTGAATCTATAGACGTATTCTTACTTCGATATATTCTTCGAAAAGTAGTCGGTTCAATCTCGAACCGATCTCTTCTCCGCCGATTTCATTCGCAAATAAGGCGTCCTTGCCATGGCTATAAATCTGTTTAAGTATACGGGGGGAAACGATCGGAGAAGGAGGTCGCGCGCGCGACTCCTCTACAAACAAGGTATAAGGGAGAGATAAAAATTTTGAGCACTGCCTGCCTATATACGGAGACGACGAGCTACTGTTCTACGTGGCGGGCAACCGTAAATCCTGCGACCAGAGGACGAGTTGGACAGGCTGGCAGCCGAACGGGCCTCCAGAAAGATTCGCGTCCTGGACGTCCCGACCACCACGTCCGAAGAATCTCGTTCAGGAAAACGAAGATGAATTGGAACGTCCAGGACTCGTCTTGCGGATTAACATAGTGTGCGAGACGGTGCCAAGGCAATTATCCTCAAAAGGGAAATGGCATCAAGTAACCAGCCATCGGAATGCTGAATTGGCGAGAGGACAAGTTTCAAACTCGAAAATATTCTACATATTAAATATTCTTTAAGCCAAGTAAAGAAACAATACATATATCAGCGTGGAGTATAATAGAGGTGTTACTCTCTGGACGACTGAGTAATTCGTCTTGCAACAGCGGCAGCTTGTGCCGGGGTATTTAGCGATTTTCAAAGTGACATCTGCCACTTGATATGCATTCAACATAGGCTCGTAAGGTGACATGGATTGACAGCCGCAAGCGTTCGTCAATCTGGAGAGACGACGAGCGACTTTCAAAGGGCCGTAAGTTTCCGATTCGACGGAACAAAGTGCGAGAAGACGTGATGGAATCTCGATCTCGCCATATGCAAAAGATTGAATACATATTTTTTTAACATGAAGATGTAAATTGTAAATAAATGTTTGGATAGAAATGGTCATTATTGCAAAGTGATGTCGTTTAAATAGAAAAAAGAAATGAACCGTCGCCGACAAACATCGGAGATACGGCTTGATTCTTCGCAATAACTGCTTTTTCCTATGATACCACTTAAGTAAAAATTCTTAATTAGAACTGAAGAGATCGGCCCCGAAGTCCGTGCCGTACAATGCATACTCGACGTTTATAGTCAACAGGGTGATTTTCATTGCCACACCATGTCGCCAGCCGTTCTTCTTCATCTAAAAAAAAAGTTATCCGCTCCCGATATGGACGACTGTCGACCGGTGGCCAACGGACGCTTACGAATTGCGCATTATGGCACAGTGATTTAAAGAATCCAATCGCATACCCTTTTTGCGTACATCGACGTCCCGAACATCAACTTCTCCTTTCTTCTTCACTGGACCTCTTGTCGAAGTTATCTCCTCCTCATAAATATTTCTCACTTTTTCGTCGAGTCGATGTGCGGAAATTTTAATTGCATCGCGTTTCGTCGGCGCAGATTTGGACAGGGCGTGAAAGCTCCGAGCTGTCCAACGCGGTACGGTCTCAATCCGTCACGCCCGGATTGCGAAAGACTGGTTCATTTGCAATTGAATTTAGTGACCGGCGTTGAAACGCGCGGCCACGGTGAGATTCGAAACGCGATGCGGTTCTCATCGGCCCCAAATAGGTGGCGAGATCGCAATCTTTCGAATTTATTGGTACTAACGCGAGGGAAAATCTCCGGAGTAAACTAAAAAGCTCTCGGGATTATCGGGTGCCGACTACTTGGCGTTAAAGATGACTGATAATTTCTTTACCCAACCATTAATACTGGTCAAAGTGGCTACTTTCAAAGTATAAATAATGGATTTTTATTTCATTATCGATGTACATTTAGGTCTATCTTGTAATCTTTAGACACTTTTGCGTTTTCTCTAGAGAATAAACTTTAATGAAACTACCCTAATAGGCTTTTCTTGTGAAAAATGATGAAATGACTAAAATGGTCATTCAATGGATTTTTTAACTCAAAAACTAAAAATGATGGAAATAAATTAGAACGGATATCCGACAACTATCCGGTCATTATTTAAAATCCGGCTGGATACTCGACCACTCACAGGAATTAGTCTAATCTCTTTTAGGTGTTGGACACTGCAGATAATAATGAAGTTCAACCCCAATACGACTTTTTTTATTGAATACAACATTATTTATATCAGGTTTGTCATTAGCAACCTCATTGTAACAGTCCCAATACGATATATAAAATCTCTTGTTGTAGTTTCGTCTAGTTTTCATCACATTCATTACTAACAGAACTGTCGCAATTTTCGCCGATTAAGTTTTAAAAATTCGTATAAAACCCAGTTCTTGGAATATGAGTATGAAAATTTCCCAAAGTGTTAATAAAAGTGTCCTCTTTCCAATGAACCAACCCGTTTTGAAAAATAACTTTTAGTTTTTGAGAAAACAATATTTGAAGTTTTGATAAAATTTT